GTTGTGTGCATCAAAACACACCTATACACAAAAAGAGCTGCATTTAGTGAAAAATTCCCCCCTTCATCCAGGTCTCTCTCCTGCATAGATATTCTGATATTTCATCTGAGGTTGAAATATATCCAGTTCTACAAACAATGCAATGCAGCTACCAGTAATTTTTACAGGTAAATTATTCATAGTTCAATAGCATTTTGCTTCCATTTACTCCAGGGCAAGGCAAAGGTGTACTGAAGGATGACAGCAAGCGCTATCAAATACACCCACCTAAAATTTTTTACATCTGTTCACTTAGACACGTTTCAGCTTCAATTTCCATTCTATTAATGCTTCAAGTGCATCAAGAACCATATTTGCATCTCAAATACGATATTTGTAAACACACAGACTCCATTAAAGTGTTAACAATAAAAATGTCTATGCACCCAAGTACAAGGCGTTTTTAAAGACTGTGGTGAAAACAAAAACATGCTGTAAATGAAATGGATTGTATTTTTCTAACAAAAGGTAAAATAAAATAATGTTAAGAGTATCGCATATAAATCCGTATGCTTTTATGGATACTATTTTGAATGCTGCAGTGGTAACAAGCAAACATTTTTTTTCAACATTAGTTTAATTGAGCCGTTACACAGATATTAAAACCTAATTTTTCCATTTATGTTGTTAGACCAGCAAATCCTAATTCTACAACCTAATGATCAGTGAATTCAGTAAGACTGGGGTATGTTCCTGAGCTTGTGGGATCAGGCCCTTAATACCTACCTTAAAGATAAGGTTTTTTGGCTTTTCAAATGTTTGACTACAATGTGTTGGCACATAGGTTAAACCTGATTAGAATGCAGGCTATCCGATGGACACCCAGTGCCGGTCCTCCTCAAAGGGTTTCAAAACATAGAGTACTTGCATCTATTGCATCAAATGCAGTTTGCACTTCCACAGAAATAAGCAATATAGAAACTCCATTCAGGACACTGCATTCATTTTTCCATTTACAATACATATCCATGCTTTTACTAAAGAGGCAGATTATACAGCACCCCATAAATTTGGCTGCTGGAAAGGAAAAAAAGAGAGGAAACAAGACACCTAGAAAGGACTTCTTCATGTATAAGCTAACATTTTCAATCATTCACCAGTAAAGATAAGGATGGAAGCAGTGTTCAGTAGCCTTCATGAAAGAGTAATATTTAAAACGTTGTTGTTGGGCTGTTATACAGTCTACCAGGTGACTTCTCAAACAATTATACCGAAAAAAAGGATTAGCTCCCAACAAAATTTTGAAGCTAGTATTTAGAAATATGGAATGCACTTATCATAGATGCCCAAGGCTTGTTTATATAGAATATTTAGTTAACTTTCAGCACAAGCTGAAGCAAATTGGCTTCCCATACCGCAGCAACACTTTTTCCTCTGCCTAATAAATGACCTAGATACTGTGGTTAACTCCAACCTTGGCATTTTGTTTACTCAAAGCAAGACTCTCATTCCCTTTACACAGTGCTGTAATTGTTTATCCCTTAAGCCACTGATAGACCATGAAGTCACTGAGTGTAGTGCAGGATTCTCATCAGCTTCGCGTATCAAGCTCTTTGGGGGCATAGGAATCTTTGTATTTGAAGTTTTTATTTATTTTTAACGGTTTGCTTTAATCCCAAAGCAGAAGATTGCTTCACGATTCTCCCTTGCTAATAGATTTATCAATGGCTAGAAGGAATCTTTTTATCGACTGTCTAGCTCATATGAAAGTAGTATAACATTTCGATTCCCCTTCTGATAAGAACCCAGAAATGTTTGCTGCAGTTTAGTTTTCATCAGTAAGAACAATGCACGAGGCAAGGTTTGCAAAAATCAAGCGTATACATTTTTATCACTGGCATTTAGAGCAAGTAGGACCTTATTTGTCACACCCAGTCTATTTCAACAGGATACAAGTACTATTAGGAGCCTAAACTGTGAACCCCTTGCACTTAACTAGCATTTTTTGGACTGTAATTTTTATTATAATTTTGTCCTTCTACATTACTGTGAAAACTGGAGTTGGTCCTTCAATCCAGCCATAGAAGAAAGTATACAGCTTTTTCTTAAAAGGAGCAGCGCTGTCACTTCACAAGATACTGGGCAACGGAATATACATGTATTGTCTAAGGACTGTCTGCATGCAATACGACTTATCTGCAACGTGGTACCTTTTAAATGCCGGATTAGAGGACATCTTTGCTGAATTGGCTGGATTTTCCTGTCAACACTCACCAGCCAACAAGTTGAAGCGCTTTACCCACATTCCCTCTAGAACACTTGCAAGAAACTTTGCATCCTGCTACCAGAGCAGAAACAGCTGTGGGTGATGGGGCACGAGCCCTGGGCACTGAGTTAAAGGGGGCACAGATCACTAGAGTTGGAGCAGTATTTGGGGAGGAATGGGAGAAATTCAGTGTCTCCATGCTCCACTGGTGACAGGATTTGGCTGTGCTAGGCCAGGATAGGAGCCTGAGGGGACACCAATCCTCCAGCTGCTGGTGATACTGAACCACTTCTCTCCTCCCCCGACAAGCAGCAGCAGAGTCTCCCACCGCACTACCAGGGTTTGTGCCTAGGGTGCAAGTTTTAATCAGTTACAACTCCTCTTTTCTCAAATTTTGCAATGAGGCAAACAAATACTCATATTTTTCTAAGCCCTCCTTCCCCCTATTCCAATTGGTTACATCTCTTGCCATCATGCATTAAAATTAGCCATCACCTACCCTACTCGGGACAGTGATCCCCTGGGGTGCAGATGGGAAGAGACAAGAGCCTGAAACTTCTGTTCCCAGGCTGATGTAGGAGCTGGATGTAGAAGACAGAACCTGAAACAAAAAACAAACCACAGTGAGCTGAACAGCAAATATAAATTTGGTATTCCTGCACCCAGACTACAGAACACATCTCCTCATTCCCACATCTACGAAGGGGGAAAAGAACTTCAGAGTAAAAGAAAAATGGGGTGGGAAGCGGGAATAAAATAAATTTAATACATTTGTTCTAGAGTGTTAGAGCTAGTCACAGAATCATAGAAAATGAGGGTTGGAAAGGACCTCAGGAGGTCTCATCTAGTCCAACCCCCTGCTCAAAGCAGGACCAGCCCCAACTAGATCATTACAGCCCAGGCTCTCTCTAGCTTGGTTTTAAAAACCTCCAAGGATGGAGATTCCACCACCTCTCTGGGTAACCTGTTCTAGTGCTTTGCTACCCTCCTGGTGACAAAGTTTTTCCTAATATCTATCCTAAACTTTCCTTGCTGTAACTTGAGATCATTGTTCCTTGTCGGGTCATCTGCCACCACGGGGAACAGTCCAGCTCCATCCTCTTTGGAACCCCCCTTCAGGTAGTTGAAGGCTGCTACTAAATCCCCTCTCTCTACACTAAATAAGACCAGTTCCCTCAGCCTAACCTCAGAAAATCATATGCCCCAGCCCCCTAACCATTTTTGTTGCCCTCCGCTGGACTCTGCTCAATCTTTTCTGTATGGCCCACATCCAATGTGTCCACATCCAAAACTGGACATAGTACTCCAAATGATGCCTCACCAGTGCTTAATCAAGGGGAATAATCACTTCCCTCGGTCTGCTGGAAGTGCTCCTAATGCAGCCCCGTACGCTGTTAGCCTTCACAACAACAACACACTTTTGGCTTGTATTCAGTTTATTGCTCACTGTAACCCCCAGGTCCTTCTCTGCAGAGCTGCTGATTAGCCAGTTGATCCCCAACCTGTACTGTGCACGGGATTGTTCTGCCCCAAGTGCAGGACTTTGCACTTGTCCTTATTGAACTTCATGAGATTTCTTTTGGTTCAATCCTCCAATTTGTCTAGGTCAGTGAATAGTGTTGTATGTTAAGGATCAAAATTCTTATAAGCCTTGTTAACTAGAACATGGGCCCTTTGTAACCCTTATGAAGAAGATTTACTAAGCCTTTGAGTAATTCCAGCGTATTCAAAATTCAAGCATACTGATAGAATCCTTTCCTGAATTTACCCAGTACTATTTTTGTGTGTACTTTGAGGTCATGCAGACATAGACTTTGAAAAAAGTAGGGTTGAATCCCTCTTAACCTCCTCCAGTCAACTGCATCAGTCGAAGGGCATAGTATAAGTGCCTTTTTCTTTGCAAGTTTAACGATTCCTCTACAGCATCTGTTAACATAGGCAAACAAGTAAACTACACTTATCTTCAAGTGTTATTTATACTTCAAATTTCACCTTGCACTCAGAAACACAAGACTTCATTTAATGATCATTCACATTTTAATAGCTCTGCTATGATCAAAAGTTTATGGAAAGAATTCTAGAGCCAACTTAATTCAAAAAGTAAAAAGAAAGCATAATTAAAATGTCTAACTGGCAGCTGGGTGGTCAATACAGATGCTCCACAATGAAAATCTGGTTAATCCTCCTAATCAGAGGAACACTGAAAGCCATTGGGGTAAAATGTTGGCATTGATCCACCTTTCCCCCATGGCTACCCAGTCTGGCTTAATATCTGCCTATAGGTTTAAAAGATCAAGATTTTACAAGGCAGCTTGTTTTAGTTCATGTAAATCAACTGTTCATCATTCTGTACACCCACAACTATGTGACATGCCTATAATATCTAGGAAATAAGAAGCTTGAATATATGGCTAAGTTTGGGGAAAACATGATGAAGAATTCAGCAGCCAGTAATTGGAACTAGAGCAGCTGATTGCTTTAGAACTGCTTAGCATAACATATTAATCCAAAAAATAGATGATATGCAGTACACTGTAAATTTCTATGCAGGTAACATTTGTGAGCAACAAAGTAGAATAATACTAACGTTTACAAGTTTGTATAATGGGTGCAGAAATGAGACACTAAATAAAGGTTGCTTTTTCTGATAGAACTCTTGATCATGTTAGTTTATTTGCATCATCAGGTACTCTCTAAGGACTAGGCAAAAATCATGGAAATTGCTCAGAATTTCACTTTAAGATTCCAAGGTACTTTTTCAGGGATATATACCTGGAAGAAATAATTAAAATGTTTATTTTCCTTCACACCCTTTCATGATTAGTTCCTATGGAAATTAAGTTCTCAATGTGAAAAAATAGTTCTGCTATTCATATGGTCACAAGCAAAAAAAAGTCTCAAAGACTTGAAATATTATTCAGAATTATTTTCTGTTGATATTTGTCCCAAGATTAAACCACAGGCAACTTCACTTGTCACTTTATATAGCATCTATCAAGTGTTTTTGCCCTACAAATGTCTTCACTGAATATTTATGCAGACAGGATAACAAGTTACAGAAAAATAAATATGCATTACCTTTCCCTTTGCAAGCTGTAATATATTCACAGCAACATGTTGAAAATACAATTATAAACAATATGTTTAATTACAATTATTGCATTCATGCTCTGATTCTGCTGTTTGACATGTGGTCCACCTGAAGAACTGATAACATCCAGATATACACATGCTGCTACTTCCTACTGTTACCATAATGGATTATTAATTGCCAAATGCTTACAACACACATAGCTCACTGCATTTACAAATGGGCAACTATATCTAGACTATTGCGATTACTAAATGCTAGGGCGAATGATTACTATTCAGCAAATAAGGCAATGTTAAAACATCAGGTGGTAATTTTATACATCTCTACATGACTCCACTTTTCTATTATGCCAGACACTGCAACAGAATCTCACTAATTTACACTAATTTGTAAAGGATCTCCCATTTCAACAGTAAGGAAATGAGAAAATGGGACGGTTGGGGGTGGCGGGGGGTGGGTATCAGGGGCTGTTGCATCATGAAATGTGCTCTGTTCATTTAATTTCAAAAAAGAGAAATTGGGTTTGAATTAGTTATGGCTAAAGCTCCAAGTTTGTAGTATACTAATAGTATAGGTTCCACTGTATATTGGATAAAAGTATCATCATCATCATCATCATCGGTATAAGACATCTCTCTGATATATGCTTTAAATTTTTTTTATAAGAATGTGATGACAAAAAAATGTTTATTCAGTGTAGGGACATGAAAATTAGTAAGACTACTATATAAAACAATAAGGATTCTCAAAATGGCTTTAAAAAGGAACCCAGACTGATTTGAAAGCTTCCTAGTCCATTTGTATGTAATCATTACATTTATAAGCTACTTCATGGATAAGTATTTGAAGCACCAGTAAATATTTAAGCAAGCATTGTAAGTATGTCCAAGATCAGTAATGAACAAGTTACAGAACACAATAGATCCCTTTCGGTTATAAAATATGATTACAGACCATTTTTGCCATTGCATTTTCTTTAAGTAAATATTTGAAGATAAAACAAAGAGCAGCAAAGCATTACTTAAACCCCAAATGTCCTACACATTCCTGTCTTATTTATAAAACACAAACCCATTAAAACTATTATTATAGTTGAAAATTTAAGCACTGCAACAGTTAGAAAATGTAAAAATTAAATTGACCTTTGAAACATTAATTTGACCTCCTTATGTTTATGGGTCATGACACTACTTTAAATTACCCAACCATATGTTGTATTTTCCACAGGACACCTCTCACAGAGCACACAATATATAGTGCTGACTTAATGAGTAACGATTCAATATTTTTTTCTTTTTCTTTAAGGATTTAGCTTACTGCATACCTCTCAGACTGTGCTCTAAAGACAGAATTGATTTCCTCATGAGTTTTTCTCTGGCAGTCCTCATTATAGCATCCCGCAGTTTCACAAATATTAATTTAATTTCACAGCCCCCTCTGCTCCCCTTTTGAAATGTAGTGGTATTATTCTCATCTCACAGATGGGGAACTGAGGCACAGAAACTAAGGTCAAAAACAACTACTAAGTTTTGGGTGCCCAAAGAAATACCTGGGGCTTGATTTTCCAGAGGATGTAGCAGGGGTTCAAAGCCAAGATACTACTGCCACAGCTGTGAGTGGTCAGCACGTCTGCAAAGCCAGGCAACCAAATGAAGAAATGCAGTAAAAGTGTGCTTTAAAGTGAGCTGTGTAGCACTCTGACATGGCACTCTAGCAAAAGCAGGAACAGAAATCAGTTCTTCAGGGTAGCGTCCTACTGCTTTAACCAGGAGACAATTCTCTCTCTTTCTGCAATGCCTTGCTTCATTTACTACAAGCAAGACAAGGATGCTATCCTTCCCCTCCCAGTCGAGAATGTAGTATCAGACTCTATTCCTACATCGTCTCTATCTCCTTAAATTACTCCCAATTCTTCTTGCCACCTAAGTCAGCCCCCTCTGGATCCCCATTTTCTTATCCCATACATACTTTTCTTCAGGTAAGTCTTTCACTCCACTACCCTTCTAGTCCTGGTCTCCTTGCCCAGCCATTTCCAGTTTCCCAACCCCAGTCACCTTCTTGTACCCAAATTTCACTGCCCACTCAGTTCCAGTTTCCCCTTACCAGCATCTCATTTGGTTTGTTTCTCTTTCCTAGCCTCTGTCCACTGACCACTATCTTCCCATTTCCACTGATGCAGTTGGCTTGAAAAAGGTTTGTCCCAGGAGAATAGGGGAATTAGAACATGGCTCAAGACTAGAGATCATTGCATCAGGATCCATAGCTTTTAATGCTATAAAATGAAAGACAGGTTGATTAGTCTGATGTGAAAACCTTGATTTGAATTTCTTCTTGTTGATATTGGAGTCTATGTAATTACGCCAGTAAAAAGAGGGGAAAAATTAGGTCCACATTCTAGGTCAGTAGCCCTTGATATTTATCATTTTATTTCACTCCTGTAGTTTTCTGGGAGGCAATCAAATTTCTGGATGTAGAATTGAGACCCCTAAGGTTAGGAAACACGTTTC